CCCCAAAACCCCAAAACCCCAAAACCCCAAAACCCCAAGAGTTTATATAAGTGTTGAAATTAAAATTCTTCCAAAGTTAACAATGTGGTATCTTTCATGAACTGATCAGGATCTTGAATATAACATGCTCTCAATATCATGTACCTCATGAGAGTCCTTGAGGGTATGTATAGGAATTCAGGTGGATCCATATCTTCTGAACCTTCAACTCTCATTAATTTTCTATTTATTGTGGTAAAGAACGATTTATGTCTTGGGTTATCGTTTTCTATCTTTTCTATTAAATTGAGAAACTAAGACTTACGTAATCTCTGACAGCTTTTATTTTCTATAATTCGTCCTTTTTATTACAAATTTAACAGCTTGTTTGAAGTTAAGTTTGCGTTTCTTCTTTGTAGGCTTAGAATTAGTACTTTTAGGAAAAGTTATGCCTACAATATTCAAATCATCTATCTCATACTCTTCTTCATCAACTATATAATCCATGTCCATTTGTTCAAAAATAGATCGTAGTTTTAGAGACTTATCAGGCTCCTTTTTCTCGTTGAAAGAGGTAGTATCTCCCATCCCAGGAGTATTTTCGTTAATTTCATTCATGATATCATTATTTTGTGCATCTGTATTTTCTTCAGTGATTTCAATAACCATAATGGAGTCATTCATTTTCCTCTGATCTTCAAAGCTGAAATATTTCTGTTCAGCCTTGATACATTTGACCAATTTATTTAGAGCTTTCTTTCACACAGTAGTCTGCATCTGGAGAATCTATATCTCTCCATTTGAAAAAGGCAATGCTATGCTCAACTCCTCAAGTTCTCAAATACATCTGGAGGCATTTGTTCCTCAGATGGGGATTGAGATGCTTTAGCCTTTTGAGTGTCTCTCTGATCCTTTTGTTTTTCTTCTTAAGATTCCTGTAAGCATAGATTATTTTAGATCTCTGATCTTCCCACATATGCTGAAGCTTCTTCCTTCTGATTCTGCTTACTTTGATGATTTCCATGAGTTTTAGAGGAAGAAGTTTCTATTTTTGATAAAGGGAATTTACCTTCTTTTCTGCATAGCTTATGCAACGATATCTAAACATAGACCTGACCTTTCGAGCTACTAAAAATTGGTGCAATATCTTCCTAGCTTTGTACTCTGTCCCACTGCGTTTTAGTAAAATTGCTGATCAGATGGAATGTCTAACCAAAACCTGCATTCGCTTGTGGATTGACACGCCCTTCTTCATGCAGAAACTTTTAAAGTTAAACTGCATCTTCATGCTAGCCATTTCGCCAATTACAATGCTAAATTTTTTGGGCTTTTTTCCGTACCATCTTATCTTTAACAGTGTTGATAAAATTGTAGATGGAATATAGAGTTAAATACTGCTTAATCAAATCATGCTTCTGCATTTTTATTCTTGCATCTTCAACTCTTTCTTTCTTCAACTTATTGAGGTACTCCCATCGGTCAAGATAGAAGATATTTTTCCTAAAAGAGATAAATATCAAGCATACTTTCGATCAAAATTTTTAATTACTTCACGGCGAGATCTGCAAGACTGCTGTCTAAATTCATTGATGCCAACTCCCTCAGGGATCGTGTTGAGATATTCTCTCATTTTAGTGGCACGAGAATTATTAGTTCTTTTAGCCTTAAGGAACCTTTTAAATCTGTTAGAAAGGATATCCTGAGTTTCTTTTATAAAACGCTTATAATACTCTTTGTTGCTAACAATTTGCTCAATTTTCAACTGGATCTTCTTTGTTTTGTTAGCATACTGAAATTTTTCAGTCTCTATCCGATCAGTGTGAACTATTTGTGTGTTCATACGGGAGAGGACATCAATATCTCCACTGTTAAGCACATAATCTGTTTTTGGGCCTGAGTTATTCATAATCGCAATAGGGCTAGAGTTTTTGAAATAATAAGCTATCTTCAATTGGCAGTCAATACTCGAAAGGATAGCAAAAGAGCAACATTCAAAGCTGAACCTTCCATCTCCGCTTGGAGTTGTTATTAATATCTTTCCTGTTTGGAAAACACCATCATTATTTTTAGAATCAGGGTACTCCTTTGAGTATGAAAGATAGATTTTTATGAAGTTATCATTTTGCATTCTTCTAAATACAATAAACTCATTTCCTACCTTTTGGATTTCTCATCTTCAACAATCTTCACAGTCAGAGGTGCTTCTTGATGTAGGGTGTCTATCCTAAAATACTGAACCTGGAGAGGGCCGATATTTATGATATTCACCATTCCAGGCTGAACACCTGGCAGCTTTTTACCCTCAGAGTCGAATACAGGGTTATCATGGTTATTCATAACTACTTTGTGCACTTTAGTGATCAAGTATAGAATCTATGGTAGTAAAAATAGCATACTTCTTCTTTAGCTTCGAGAATGACCTTATTAGCACTTGTATCTTCAGCTTTTTTAGCAAGGTTCAGATTTGATAGTTTATTTTAACTGCTGGGTTATTCGATTATTTGCAGTCTGTGTTTTAGATGAGATATCACTTTTCTCAGGTATATTTCTTGTTCTTATAGAGTCCCTCGCTGATAAAACTGGAGATAAGCTTCTACAGTCATTCTTTCTGAGTCTATAAGATTTATGGCACTTGGCAAAAGCTGTTGTTACCTCTGGATCATCTTTTGAAGTGTCTTATTCTTTGTCCTTCTCTGTAGAATTGAGGTCTTTGGTTTCACAGAGCTAATATTTCTTGAATTTCCCATTAAAGAATACAACCCTTGATTATTTTGGACTAAAAGTGTCTCTGGTTTGGGTTGGTGGAGGGGCTATATCAAAATGTGAAGCATGCTCTTCAGTTTTGACCTTCGAGAGCCTTAGGGTGTCTTCAGAAATAGTTCTCATCACAGGTGTCAACAATCTAGATGTATTATTTTGTTTGATCAGATTAATATCACTCATTTTCTTGCTCATCCTTTTAGTAAAAAGCCTGGGTTCATTTTTCCCAGTCGTTAGGGAAGATTTGACGTCCTGGATTCTCTTCACAGAACCTCTAAGACTTTTCTTAGGTTTGAGTAACTTTGAGTTCTTCATATTATATGAATTCTCAGAATAAAATATTATCAATTCTCAAGTTTAGTGACATATAAGGGGTTTTGGGGTTTTGGGGTTTTGGGGTTTTGGGG